CGCCCCCCTTTCCCTACCTAACTCGACATAAACTTTTGCTACCTTCTCAAATGTTGCTTTCTCAGAGAGGCCTTCCTTTCACCCCAGCGCGCATCAGTCTGCTGTTATAAACTCATTCCACCCTTTTCCTCCCTATACTTATCCATTTATAATTACACATTTATTTTTATGATTTAAAGGATTAGGAGCTCTCGTAACTGATACCCTCTCAACAGATTCACTGGATTAAAGAAAGCTCTCCTTTCTAACTAGAAAACTGACAGCTACCCACAACATGCAAGGCCCGCTTCTTCTCCCGACAGTTCATCATTCATTCAACAAATACTCAATTCTAGATACTGAGGATACAGTACTGACAAGACAAAGCCATGCCCTCGTGGAGCATACATCCTGGTGGAGGGCAGACAGTAAGCAAATAAACGAGCTCTGTAGTGCTGAATGACACTCGACATGGACAAGACCGGAGCGGGGAAGCAGGGAACGCAGGGAACAGGGGGGTGGGTTTTGTGCTTTCAGAGAGAGCCCTAGGGAAAGTCTCCCGGGGGGAAAAGCGTTGAGGCAGTGAGCTTTGTAAGTATCCGGAGGTACCTGGGAGCAGGGCAGTCCCGGGGAGGCACTGAGGCCGCGAGGAGGACCTGTCTGCCTTGCTCCAGGAAGAGAAGGTAGACTGTGCCTGTGGCTGAGCAGGCAGAGGCCACAGAACGTGCAGTGGGCCCGAGGCAGACTGCCCAGGACCCGTTTCGTGCCTTTTTGCTGAGTAAGATGGGTGGCCATTGGTAGATTTCGAACAAAGCAGTGACATGATCTGGCATTTTTAACATGCTCACTCTGGCTGATGCGCTGCAAATACACTAAATGAAGCGGGGAGACCAATTAGGAGACTTCCAAACTAGGAGGACAGGTAATGGGGGTTTGGAACAAGGGGATAGCTGTGAAGATAGCTGAGAAACACTAGGCACATTTCCCCGCCCCCTTGGTTCATTTCTTTAAAAGTAGAACTGGTAGGATTTTGGTAACGTTGAATATGAGGTGTGTGGAAAAGAAGATTTCAGCCTGAGGATCTGGAAGGATAAGGCTGTCATTTCCTGGGATAAGAAAGGTTGGGAGGAGGAGACTGAGGCAGGTGTGGTAAGGAGCTGTTTTGAACATGCTAAGTTTGAGGACATTATTAGAAATCCAAGATCTGCCAATTTGCATAAACATCCCTTACATACTTTCATGAATCCATCGGTTTTGTTCTCAAACTTGATTATATCTATCAGTTGCATGTTATTGAAATTATATCAAGTAAACATTAGAAAAAGAAATATAAAAGCAAAAAGAGTTAGAGTGGGTACAAAATTATTAAAATCAAGGGGGAATCGGCACTCATTGCTTTCGAGCAAAATTTTTCTACTTTAAAAGGGAAACTGGAAATTCCAGATGATGATTTACAGATGCAGTTTGTGCAGCAGATACATCTCAGAAAACCAAGTGTATCCATAGTCCAAGTAAAGACCTTGACCCTACCTCAAAAGATTAGCCAAAGAATGCGCAGTTATTCCTTTAAAATTAAAATGTCTACACTATGTATAATTTATTATGATTCCTTGCTGTGGTATCCAGCCACCAAGATGACCTTGCCTCCTGGTATTAACACCCTTGTGTAATCTCCTCTCACCCTGTCAGGGCTGGTCTGTGTGACTAATAGAATATGGCACGAGTGACGGTATGTCCCTTCCAAGTCTACGCTATAAAATATACTGTCTCTTGCCTGAATATCTCTTGGGTTATTCACTCTGGGGAAAATCCGGCCGTCGTATTTTACAGATACTTAGGCAGCTCTGTTAAGAAGCTCACGTGGCAAGGACCTAAATCTCCCTGACAACAGCCACTGGAGTGAGCACATCTTGGAAACAAATCCTTCAGCCCTAGTCAAATTTTCAAATAATTTCAATCTCAGGAGAGACTCTAAGTTAGAACCACCAAACCCAGCCATTTCTGGATTCACAACCCTCAGAAACTGTGAGATGGTTTGTTTCAAGCTGCTAAATTTGGGGATAACTTGTTATGCAGCAATAGATGACGAACACACCTGCTTTAACCTATTTTTAAAATTATCCATCTTCTAACACATTAAGCACTCAGTCCTCTTTAGAGTCCCTGGGCCTATTATCTCAGAAAATGTTACTAAGTAAAATAATTAGCAAAGTTGTGAAAGTCATATACTTCAAGTGCTTTCAAATGTCAGAGTGCTTCTCTAGAGTCAAGTATTATTTCAAATACAGCAAATTATAAAAGTTCTAGAATTTCCTAAATATAAACGTCCATTGTGAAAGGCTTTGCGACACACATGAGACAGTTCAAAGCAAAACACTGAGGTGGTTTTTGATGTACCAGTTGCTTTGCTGTGGCTTTCAAGTAAAAAATAAAAAGTGTCATACATAGAAGAAAAGTTTGCTTTTTTTTTTTATGTACTGAAATCAAGTCCTTTCCTGCTCAAATGATGAAGGATACCTAAGGGTTTTCACTGTTTGGGTGTAGAAAAAAAAAAAAAAAGAACCTCAGCAAAAGAGCTGTGCAGCCTGATCAAAGACATCAGTAGCATAAGGAGAGAAAGAGATTAAAGCAGAAGTGGCAGGGTAAAGTATTACAGAATACAGGGTATAGGAAGAAACACTGCGTAAAAAATAGAAGTCAAAAGTGGCATAAGAACAGTAAGAACGACAGTGGATAAACCAAGTGAGTTCAGAAAGATTTCCAGCAAAGCCCTACAAATAGTATAACAATAGGACACTGAGATGCTTGTAGAGAAGTATTTTAAACATACAGAGAGAGATGTTTAAAGTGCAAAATATTAAGTTCATGTCATGGCATCAAAGAGGATGGCATGAAACAACAGAGTATGGCAGATCACAAAAAACAAAACAAACGCCCAGAAGATGAGATTGCGATTCTGATCTGGCATCTTGTTCTATCTCCAGCCCTATGTCCTAGCTAGGAAGAGATTCCACTAATATTTGTATGGTTTCCTTATTATATACTTGTTTGTTTAATGTAATAGTTTAAAAAATATAACTATATGCATTTATCTATACTGTACATATTTAATTATCCTAAAATAAACCTCTTTTTAAAAATATGTTTTTTACTGATTTTAGAGAGAGGAAGGGAGAGGGAGAAAGAGAGAGAGAAACACCTATGAGAGAGAGAAACATTGTATTCCCTCCCCTTGGCTAAACATGTCTGAATACTAACCAAGATGTGCTGGGAAAGGGAGAAGTCTGAGTAGGGACGGACGCATGTAACATCATCAATAGGATAAATTTATACTGTGTTGGATGGCATTATTAATCGAAATACTTTGAATTATTAATTAAAATGCCAAGTACTTTGACATTATTCATTATAAAACTGTCTTTTCTCCCAGTTAGTACATAAAGAAAACTTTTACACTTGATTTCGATGTTTCTACTGTTGCCTGTGTTCTCTATGCCTGTATATGCGAGGTCTTATGGAAACTGAAGTGTGACCTTGTAAATACATAAGCATTGTATAAAATATTCAATACACCGGCAAGATATACCATCATTTTTTATTTGGCAATAGTAGAAATACATCCACGTTATAGTGCTTATTTTGGCTAAAGATCCAGTGCTATTTTTTTCTGCTACTGTAGTGTTTCACTTCTACATAAATTAGTCACTGCAGTCCTTACATTTAGCAAATAGACACATTTACTGATATTAGCCAAGTAAAGCTAATACAAGGTTGTTCTCAAACTAAGCAAAACAATAACACAATCATTAGGAACAAAAAAAAGATACCCTTATTTCTGTTAATCACAGATTATACAAATTCCTACATCTCACATACAGAGAAATTTCTAAATTTGATTAATCCAAGCAAATAACCAATAATTTGAATTCAGCCTAACTCATATAATCACTTTGAAATGTATAATCCAAATAATTTCCTAATGTGTTCATATTACAATAAAAGCAAATTGTGTTATGAACATAATTTAAAATTTCCAATTATGAAAGATCACAGAGAAGTATATTAAATGTTACTTTGGCATTCCTATTTCATTTGTTTAAAGGAAAGATAGTTTTCTTTTATAATGCAAATAATCATTCCTTCGGTAAGCATTTAAGTAGAAAATGTTACATCTTAAGGCAAGAAAAAGTTTGTAAGTGTTTTTTTTATCAAGTCAGTTAATTCAACAAATTATTCTAATCATAGTAAATGGGTGCAAATAAAGAATATCACTTTACAAGAGAAAGTTCTTTGTAGCTGACTATAACAGTATGAAAAACATCTTCTTTCTAAAAAGATCTCATTTTGACATTTAATAAACATATTGTAAGTCTTAGAGAAAAAATAACCAGCCTTTTAGTTTAACAAAAATGTAGAAACCAAAATATAAAAAAAAAAGTATAAGTCACCTGAACACATCATTTTTCTTCCAGAAAAGAGAAGGGAAAAGAATTCATTTTCTTAGGAAAATTCAAGGTCCTCTTATAATTTACATGGGGTAGTGGGTAGTAGGGCTCATGTGGCAGTGGCAATTTTCTGATAACACTACCACAGGATTCATCCTAAAAGGTTTCAAACTAGTTTAAGTCATCTTCATTTTTAAAAATATTACTTTAACTCTTTAACCCAATGTCAAGGCAAACTGAAATTGGTACATTATGTCTTAAGTACTCTTCTGTGGTCAAAAACATCTTTGAGATGTTTCTTTTAAAAGGTCAAGTTTCTTCTCTTACAATACAGGTTTTTCCCCTATACTTATTACCCTGAAATTCTGTTTGGTCGCTCTTGACTCTTTTGTTAAAGGCCACAAAGAAAGCATCGTACTCAAGTAGTAGCTACTGAACTGACCAAACACTAATCAAACTCAAGCCCTTAATTAGACAAACCAATCTCTTGAATATGGGCAGCTTTTTGTTAAAGGTGAAATATAAAAGAGAGAGAAAAAAACCTTCTTGAAAGCCATTCATATTACCTGATGAAATAAATTCCTCAGTTACCTTACGTAGTAGCAGCATTATTAAATAGTGCAATTCTTCAAAATAGATTTCAGACAATATCTTCCTCAAATAAAAGAGTAATCAAGTTTACTTATAGCTTTGTTTATAAAACCACAGCTTAAAACATTCAGCCCCCAAAACAGGAAACTTAATATAAGCAGTAACTGCCTAGCCTACATGCTAATGAGAATGTGTGCGTGCACCTATGTGTGTATGTGTGTGAATCATTCCAGGCTAGTGGTACCTCAACAAGATAAAAATACAAGATATAAGTTTAAAAATAAAACATTACATAATGGAATGTTTAGCTTTGATACTTCTATTGATACTCCTGCCTCAATAATAAGAATTATAAGTAGCCAATTCTTAAATTACAAATATATGTAAGAAAAGTCAAAGAGATATATACTCAAAAATTATGAGAGCAATATTTTGTATTGTTTAATGTTATAACCTGTACATTATGGAACACAGTACATGCAAACAGAATGAAGATGCTGGATCTCATATTTTGTAACTACTGTTACCTAAACATGGCACATACATAAATTTAAAACCTTAAAAGTTTATACTCCCCATCCCCCCACTTTTCATTTTCTATTCATTAATCAGAAACTAGGCACTTTAATCTAAAAATGCATTCTAAAAAAATATATTTAAATCCTTCTGGGTAACTCACTCCCAAAACAAATAAAGCCCACTTTAAAAGCAAAATCAGCAAATCTAATCCACTGATATACTAAGTCAGCCACTCCAAATAAGTGGTATGTGATTTAGACACAAAATTAATACAACTCTAAAAGTATCTAATATACTCTAAAGAATCTTATTTATATGAACAACCCATTTGTTCATACATTTATCATAAAGGACATGAAATATACTTCCATACCATTAAAATATTTTGTTCTATATCCACGGGGAGGGGGGGCCTTTTTTAAAACCTCACTAAGGTTCAAAGTATGTATATTTTTAAAATGTGGAGATAATATGACAAAATGTGCTAAGTTCTCCGTGCACATTTTAGAAGAACTAAAAGCCAGTTTTACAGAAGGAGAAAGGAGAAATGACTTTACTGTATCAAGATTAATAACTTCAGATGTTGGGAGATAGTCTCGACACTGCACAGGAAACATTTTAATTGCCTATCATAATTAATAAATGCTATATTTTTAACAATATTCATTTAAGAGAAAAATGCTCTAATCTATAAAAGGATAAAAGAAATGTTTTTAGTCTATTGTAACCTATAGGACCAACATTAATATATTTTGGAAACTGCAGAAAATCTAATATAAACTTGTAACATAAATTTCTCAGTGTCAATTCATTTAAATGTTTTGTAATGATAGTCAGCCATTACAATTTCTTTGATTCAAATACATAAGCAAATGCACAAGCAATAGTGTAAGCAGTACATAGTAAACACCACTACTGTCTAAACTTGATTAAACAAAGGAACAACCTTACAACTGAAAATACATTTTCAGGCAAACTTAAGTTTGTGAACACTAGGAGTAATATATTCTTGTATGTATAGGCCACACAGCTCTTAGCTAAAGTGTGTGATTTCAAGGTGCAAAGCATAAAAACAGAGCTTTTGAGAATGATACTGGACATTTCAGACAACTTCAAGACGACATATCAATCAACTCCCAAGTACCGGCATCAAGTCAAGCAAAATATGCTCTGTAAGATATGCAACAGTTCATGAGATAAATTATTACCTAAAGACTGTGAAAAGCTGCTTTGGATACACTACACGGGGGTTCAATGACAGAACTTGTGTGTAAGTACAGTACAGTCACTCACTCTTGACTAGATTTCTTTCCCTCCCTGAGTCCATATCCACCAATTCTGTGTAATATATGTTACAGAATCAATAGTTATCTTAAAATATTTCATAGCACACTCAAATTGTCTGATTTGGTGGTACTCATTGCACTTTGGCTTCCACCAGGCTACTGGACATAACGTGACCATGATTACTTATACAACTACTTGTATGCCTCAGCGCATCGGCTCCAAGGTAGGCCATTAGAAGTTCAGTGCGGCCAATAAGTAACTGCATGAGGTCTTCGGCCAAAGTCTCTATACTGGAATAGCGTACTTTCTCGAAGTCAAAAATGTCTTTGAGAAAGAAAAGAACCTGATTCTGGAAAATAAACACAAAATAAATTGACACATATTAGACAAAAATTATATTAAATCTAAATAGTTACTAATGTTGTAACATGCATTGAATTAGGAGTCAGAAGGCCTGAGTTCCAGTGCTAGTTTCATATCTCATTGGAAAAGGGGCATTGAACAAGTGATTAAACCTCTTTGGGGTCTCATTTTCTTTTTTTGTAAAGTAAGAGGCAATAGTTCTTGTCATATTTTACTACTCAGGGCTGATGTTATGATAAAAGTCTATAGAAAATGTCTGTAAACCAAAAGCACTGCATAAAGGCTAGGGGCTATTACCAGTCCTTGTCCAATAACTGAAGTTTTCAATGTTACCTATGAGCACTGCACTGCACTGGTACTACTTTAAGAGAGAACAGCAAACTATTTCCAATAATTACAACTTTGTATATCTTTCTGTACATAAAAAGCTTAGGACACATGTAAAATAAAAATAATTTCGGGTCTCAAACCAGTGGAAGACTAAAGAATATTTCACTGCAGTAAGTTAATACTTATGCTGAAACTCATTTTAAGCAAGTTGTGTACTACTAAGTCTTAAGCCTCGGGCTGTTGTGCCATCATGAAAATAAAAGTAATTCCAAAGAGTAAAAAATGGGAATATTTAATTTCTATCCTATAGAAATCAAATGTTAAGAAGTACTAAGAAGGCACGCCTCTTAGACTCACTGGATGCTGTAACTGGAAGGGTCAACGGCGATCAACCTGTCAAACCCCCTCATTTTATCATGAAGAGGAGGGAAACGCATGATTTGCCCAGAATCAGACTGCTCACTAGTGACAGACTTAATTCCAGTCCCAATTTTCCCCACTAAACACAAACCTTAACTTACACTGGCGAGGTCAAGTAAACTAGTCAAAAAATAATGAGTTTTAAATGATAGTAAAATAAACATTTCCTAAACCATTTACATAAGCGCTACATTAACAGCATGTAAACATAATTTTATTTTTTTAATGAAGGGTATAGTGAAACATCTACACTTTCAACCATCAAAAACTTTCCACTTCATACTTGGTTATATTTACTTTTTTATTTGCTCCTTGAAACTCAGCCTAAACTGAAGGCTATTAAAATCGTGAGGCTTATCTTGGCACTGTGCCAAGCAGAAACTTCTGCAGTGAGCTGTATAACTTGTGTTTTGGCAAACTTAAACTGCTGACATTGGGGTATGACTTTAAACTCTCATGCTATTTCTCACAACTGGGATTTTATTATTCATGTTACCTTGAACCAAAACTTCTTTCTAAATTGCCACATGAGCAATAAAGACATGTATTATTTATTTTCTAGATTTCAGAAGCATCCAGGCATGAGGAACAAACTGCCTTCAGCAATTTGACTGTAACACTGTAACTCCGTCCAAGAACATGCATCCATCACAGAGGGAACCGACAAGGCGATGGACTTGTATCTACTCCAGGATGAAGTACCGTATCTGTATAATACTGATCTACGGGCATTTAAACACTGAATTTAGGTGACTTTTATAACTTTACCTTTAACATTCTTTCTTCTACAAACGCAAAAAACAAAACAGAATATATCTTATCAGATTTTTTATTTAGAGGGAAAAAATGGTTCAATGATTGGACATACCTTAAAGAAGCAACATAAATCATAGAGAGAATTTCTAGGACCCAAAAAGCCCCAGGCTAGGACAGGGCTGATGTGCTCACAAATGGCATAGAAATGGGCAAAAAATCCATCTGGGATCTGTTGGGAAGTAAAGGTGAATCGAGTTATTTTTACCGTTTTGAATCTTTCTCTTTAGAAACTTAAATTGCTATCCATCACATGACCAGCTCTTTTGAGGGAAAAGCAAGGGTCACTAATGAGCCAGCCTCATAAGAAAACTAATAAACTTACAAGTAATTTTTAGTCACAGAATGTTTTCTGTAGATTTCATAACTGAGCCAACAGTTTCAAATATGCTGAGAAACAGTATTTCTTAAAGGCATTTTCACTTCATAAAAAAGCAATCATATCAGTGTTGTAACTGAGTAAAAACAAGAATGGCATGGTGTTCCTTAGCAGTATAATTTTTAGGATTAATGAGACCGCCATGGTTTCAGCTATTAAAAAATTCTACTCAATTACTTAATTAGGTTATCTGAAAAAGACTAAAACAAACTTTAAATGATTAAGTACAAATTTGTGCTCACTAGAATCCTAACTTTTAGTAAAGGAACCAGATATTGAAGCATTTAATTGCCTCTTCTTGTGAAACAGTAAAACATAGAGTTGTGATTTAGGAAACTCTAAGTTTATTAATAACTTTCTGAATGTCCCTGGTTAAATAAGATCCTATGGGATCTGTCACACAGCATCCACCAGGGATAACTATGCCTTAAGATTCTGTCTCCTGGAGGGGTTACTTTCTATTTTACAGGCTCTAAGACACCTTCTAAACCTCAATTTAAGAACTATAGCAGCAATTACCATTTAATGAGTACTCATTATATTCCAGATAATGTGCTAGGTTCTATTTAATTTAATAAAATGTTCCTGAAAAAGTAGATCATGTCAACATTTTAATATGTAAAAAGTGATACTTCAGAGGGATTAAATAACCTGTCCTAAATCACACAGGGCTAGCTAGCAAAGGCCTGCAAGTTATGAGGAATGCACTGAAGTTACTACTCTAGTATAAAAGATGTTCTGCATAAACTGAAATTCTAAACCCTATACAGACTCTAACTGTATTAGGCATCCAGACAGGTAAGAAGTTAGCATGGGCTGAAGTAGAAAAGAAATGCTTCACCAAGGAATAATTGTTGAGCTGAACTCAACAGCAGGTAAGATGTATTTAAGTACAGAGAACAGAGTATGGCATTCCAGGCACAGGAAATAGTTCTCCAAGAAGTGAGTTATATAGGTTTCTGTGGATACAGAAAGAAGACTAAGGCACAAGATTCATGCTAAGAAAAAATAAAGTTAGATCTAATGATAATAATTATGGAAACTGCCACTTATTAAACTTTTTAATATTTGTTCTTCTTTAACAAAATAAATTCCTTATGGATTTTACTTATGTATTTATTTTTTAAATATGTCTCCATTGATTTCAGAGAGAGGAAGGGACAGGGAGAGAGAGAGATAGAAACATCAGTGATGACGGAGTTGTCAATGATCAGCTGCCTCCTGCACACCCCCGACTGGGGATTGAGCCCGCAACTCAGGCATGTGCCCTAACCGGGAATTGAACCTCAATCTCCTGAATCCTAGGTCGATGCTCAACTGCTGAGCCACACCAGCCGGGCTTTAATATTTATTCTTAATTTTATGTTTAAATTAAGCTTGTTGATACTATCTCATTTCATCCTTACATCAACCCTATGAAGTAGGCATCATACAGTTGTGATTTAGGAAACAAAGTTTATTAATAACTTTCTGAATGACCCCGGTTAAATAATATCCTGTGGGATTTGTCATTTTGCAAACAGTGAAACTAGATATCGGCTGAGAGTAACTTGCCCATCATCATTCTGGCTGTGTGAGAATCAAACCCAGTCTACAAGTCTGTTCCCTAGCCCTAAACCAGTGGTTCTCAAACGTTATAGTTTATAATCATCATTTAGGGAACTTGTTTAAAACACTGGGTCTCTGGAATCATCTTAAATAAGAATTACTCAAATATATGCTCTCCAGAATTATTTTTAATAAGCACCTTCTGAAGATGCTATGGGAACTGAACTTCGGAAACACTGCACTTAGCAATACCATCCCAAAGTTATGAGGGTCAGACTGAGAAATATGGATATGATAAAATACTACTGGTGAGTATGCAAATAATAATGACCAACACTTGCAAGATGCACTATGCCAAATACTGTTCTGAGCACTATACATTTACTCCTCAAAAACCCCATGTGGTAGATATTATACTCTTTTTGAGAGATGAGGAAACTAAGGCACAAAGAAGTTAAGCACCTTACTAGAAGTCATGGCTAGTAAATGGCATTTGAAACCAGGCAGTCTCACTCCAGAGTCCACGCCGTTCACCACAGTAGTGAATGGTGAGAGCAGTATGCAGTGGGTGAGATGGGCTGAAGGGTGTACAACATGCAGGCAGGATATAAACTTTGAGACTTTTTTCATGGAGCCTCTTTGAATAAAACAACTATTAGAATCAAACCATTATTTCCCAGTTGGATTACATAAAGTGGAAACCACTATATTAAACAAGTTTTTAAAATCTTAAAACATCATTAAGCAACAAAACAAAAACTGTATCAGAGCTGTTTCTAATCCTAACCCCTCTCCCACTTAGTAGAAATCCCATGCAGGCCTCAATACTTGTTGCTATACTGAACTCCACAGAAAATTAAGAAAGAGGGAGAAAGAATTCAAAAAAGGAGAAGCCAACCATGTACCAATAAGTCACTCATCTGGCTTTAGGGACAGTCCTTATGACCTGCCATTCCCACTTGAGAACACCCTCAGATTTTCTTTGACAGGAGCCTCGAATGACTTAAGAAAGAAGTCCAAGATAGTTTACCTTCATCTGCTGCCTTTTCTGTTTCAGCACCGACCAACAACTTGAAGTCACAGCCTAAATATATGCAGAGGAGAAAAAACAAGACTTAAATTTATAACTATATAAACTTTCCATTTAGAAAAAAGCAATTTTTATTAGAAATTCAAAGTTGATGGGTCAAAAATGTTCAAAACATTAACTACTACTAAGAAGCAGTTCCTTCTATTATTTGTAAATATTAATGAAAAAGCGTTTTGTTTTTATAAATTTTAGAATTAAATAAATACAAAGTCTCCAAAGAAAAAAAGGCTGAACTCTGGTACCAATGACCTTGGCAATTATAATTCAACTCTCAGAGTTCTTAAATTCTGCTCCTGTGGGAAAAGAGTGAAAATATGTATACACAGATGCACAGATACAATAAATGTTTTATACATAACAATGAAGACAAAGTACTGTTTTTTTCAAGAACAGTACTGCTGGAAATAATTGTGGGTAAAGCCAACAGTTTTATTCAAATAAAGAACTAAAAAATACAACCATAATGATAGGGACAAAACACCCAAGTGGATCCTGAAGAAATCTGACCCTACTCTGGCATGTCTCAACTTTGACCAAGGTCAATTTACCAAAGTAGTTATGGAAATGGAGATAACATATACCTTTTATGGTTAAAACATACTTTGAAGGAAAAGTGGATTTATTAAAACTGTTTTAAAATTCAGTATCAGGAATTTGCAAAACAATTGTGAAATAGCCCATTGGAACATTTTTTTAAAGGCATTCAAATGTATTCTATCCTATCTACATACTTAGAGCCCAACAGAAAACAATGTCAAATACAGATTTGAGTACAAAACAACAGAAACTAAAATCATTCAAAGAATAGAATATAATTAAACCTGGTTGTGTGTTTTTTTTTGGGGGGGGGGCACATATTTATTTTTTTTCTCTCCTAATTTTTTATAGTATTTAGGAACATGAATCCCTATATTTTTCTCTAAAAATATATATATTGTCTTTTGACTGTAACTGCTCTATTTCAGTTTAGTCACAGAGCCATTTCAGTTACAGACAATTTTTTGTTAGGCCTGAACTAGCCTGAAGCCTGATGTAGTTTTTCTTGTTTTTGCTTTTAGATCTAAAGAGATAATGAATATTTCAGGTCAAGGCAAGAACTGATAGAAAAGCCAGAAAGGAAATTTCATCTGAAGACGTTATATATTCACCACATCTGATCCCAAATTCAAAGGATGAACTCAGTGTCCACACTACTTATTCTATAGGAGATATACATGTAAATCTTATTAATCTTCCCAGTTCTGACCATTTTTCATTAAATTTACATGGTTAAGAAAGATAAACCACCACTTACAGTTTCTTTGAAGGATGAGTTTAGCCAGCGATTATTTACTACATTCTGTATGGACGCGGGTGGGTTTTCTAAATCTTCAAAGGAATCCATTAATATAAAATCCAGAACAACATCATAAAAATTTAGATTTTTCACCTGCATTAAATTATGAGTTAAAACAGAAATTATTATTACATAGAGCTAAACTAAAGTCTGAGCCAAGGCTCCATACTTTATAATAATTTGGTGTGTTTAGTTGAATCAGATTATTGTATGTCTAACAAAAAGAGAGGAGAGACAAATATGAAAACAACTCAACCCCAGAAATGACAATTCATGTGATAGCTGTTCCTTCCTAGGTCCCATCAGGTGAAATTAATCTTTCCCTTCACTCTATGCTAGGAGTCCTTTGTTTGTGCTTTTATTATGGTATCCACAAAGCTCGTTCTGCCCTGTCATTGAGTTACTAGTGTATCTGTTTGTCTTCCTCACAACACCATGAGCCTCTTGCTCTTTCGTTCATTCATGCATACTGTATTGTCCTACACGCTGTACCAGGTGCTCAGACTTCTAGGGTAAGCAAACCAGACGCTTAGTTTAGTGGGGAAAACAGACAGCAACAATTAATCCCACAAATATAGTTACAAACTGATAAGCACAGTAAAGGAAAAAGTACACGGTACTATGAGAGCTTCTGGTGGAACTCTAGACTGGATGTCACAGACGGCTTTCTTCAGGGAGGCATCCAGGTACAGGAAGTACCTTGTCAAGGACTTTAAGGTAAGAAGGAACACAGTGATGCTGTGTCAAAGAAAACCGTGGCAAGTGTGCTGTAGCTCCCTACAGCAGAGAGCACAGAGGCAGGACAAGGAGGGGACAGTTCCTGCAGAGTTTATGACCCATGTTGATGATTTGGGGTTTTATCTTCACAGTAGTTTAGGGAGGTAGTGGTGAAAGGGAGGTGGATGATCAGATTTGTATTTTTTTTTTAAAGACTATTTGGCAGTGCCCAGCCGGCATGGCTCAGTGGTTGAGCATTGAGCTATGATCCAGGAGATCGTGATTCGATTCCTGGTCAGGGCACATGCCCAGGTTGCGGGCTCGATCCCCAGTATGGGATGCGCAGGAGGCAGCCGATCAATGACTCTCTCATCACTGATGTTTCTCTCTCTCCCTTCCTCTCTTCGAAATCAATAAAGATATATATTTAAAATATAAATATTAAAAATAATAATAATAAAGACCGTTTGGCAGCAATGTGGAGAGTGGATTGGAAAGGACTGAGAGTGAATGCCGGGAGTGGAAGAGTAGGCAGGGAATCAGGGAATGTGAAGACTCTGAGGTAGTCCAGGGAAAGACAATAGTTACTCAGACTAGAGTGGGGCTGGCAGGAATAGAGAAAAGCTGAAGAAATTGAAAGCTATTTAGAAGTTAAATTGACAAACTTAAGAGAGGAATACGATAAAGTAGGTGAGGACCAGGGAGGTGCGAAGGAAGAGTCCCAGGTTTCTGGCCTGCACAGCTGAATGCACAATGGAGAACACTGAGGCAACACTGGAGAAGGAAACCTTATGCCTCTGTGTCTTGGAACTACTGTTTTCTCTGCCTAGAAAGCCTTTTAGCCCCTTGCAAACTCATTCTTTAAGCTTCTGTTAAACAAAATGTTCCAGGCTCATTATGTACTCTCCCTATTCCAGTGCTGAAATCAGCCATTTTTCCAGGGTCCTGCTTCCTTTCAGTGGAGACTGGTGCTTAGAAGCCAAGATCTGTGTGCCCTTGAGGAGTCATTTCTTTTGAGGCGTTGCTGCTCCCAGACCCCCTCAGTGAACAGAGCTGCGGAGTACATGTATGTTTATGTACATGTAAGTTATTATATTTATTTCTATAGCTATCTATATCTATTATATACTGTGAATTCACCCTGAAAGCTCCAAATTCCATCCTAGCTTTTCTATACCTCCCTCTCCAAAAGCAAGAAGACTGGCTCCAATTATTCTCAATACATTTGTTTGTCTGATTCTGTATATACAGCCAAAATCCTGGCCCCAGTGAGCTGCCTCTCGGAAACCATCTCTGAATAGGCCATTACTGCCCTGCTGGGGTCTACTCCTGACTTTCAGAAGGAGGGAAAGAAAGAAGGAAGGGAAGGAGGGAGGAAAGAGAAAGGCTTTTTAAAAAACAATTCTTCTCAACAGTTGCCCCAATGTATAAAGCCTGTGGTTGCTATTGTTCATGACTGTCATAACCACTACCACACAATTGGTTTTACTGTCATTACAATGACAAAAAAATAGTGGCCTCAAATTATGCAAATATTATGTGTAAATATCTAAGGGGAATAATATATTGTAAAAAAATTCAAACTTACTCCTTTAGCAGCAAGTTCCATTTCAGTACTATCCCAGTGATCGGTCTGCTCTAAAAAACAGATCATTTCATCAAAAACGTCTTCAAACTTCTTTGGATTCTGCAGAAGAAAATACACTTTAATCCTAAACTCAACCTCATGACAAGGCTCAAGCCTGCAAAGTACATGAGTTATTCTTCAAGTTCATTTGCTAGATCTTCATTTGATTAGATCACTGAGTTAAAATACACTTTCAAGGTATGCCATATTCATTTGGTTTAATATTCTGTTGTTCCAACATTTTGAAGAAGCCCAGACTAAGAACACTGTAAAATGTCATAAGCAAAGTGCCTACTACTCAAATACATATGCTTATTTAGGTAAGTCCTTAAGATGAAAACTTAGTTGCAGAAGATACCATCTGATGCTTTTAATGCAGTTCTGCTCCTTTAGGAAGGACTCTTGTTCAAACCACTGGGTTTATCTGCCATGGGAAGGCCAAGAAAGCAACATAAAATTAACATTGGGAATTGCAAGTAAATAGCACCTTTTATTTATTTTGCACTTTGTAAAAAATTTGCTTTCCCATTTATCATTTATTTAATCATAAGAACCCTCTGAAATAGTATACCATATATACTTTTATTATTCAAATGATAGGGTTGAGATTCAAATAGATTGGGTCTGAAAACCAGGTGTTCAAATGGCTCAAGGAAAGCCTGTTTTATTTTGGTTTTCCTTATCTGGACACACCGTGTACATAAAAAAGTGGCTCTTATAGTCTTATTTAAATTATTTTTATTGCTTCTGCCTCATTCAGTCCCATGAAGATGGGTAAGAGTAAGAAGGCAGCTCAATTTGTATTTCCAGATTTCTGAGATCTGTACTATTCCCTGGAGCCTTCTTACTGAACACGATTAAAGGAAGTAAGAGAAGAGGTATTAGAAATAATAATAGTGGTGATTGTTAGCAGATATAATGATAATTCTCACCATGACATTCACAGAATGACTTTATGGTAAATTGGGAATAATTTATGAGAAACAACTGGATCAAAACAGAGTGGGATTTATACACAGAAAATAGTCCAATCCAAGCAGAAATCAATGCTCTTGGGGTTATTTATATTATGTAAATCTTTTCAACTATCTACAAAAATTGTTTCTTCTATTAAAAATGTAATGTACTGTAATTTTAAGTTCAATGGAAACAACAATAAAAAAAACAACTTGCCAACAAAACAAGTTAGTTACCTTTCGTGCTTTCACAATTAACGCTGATAAAATTTTCCTTCCACTCTCAGCAAGGAATATCCTGTTGGCTGTTTCTGAGAGAATAACCTAAAAAAAATACCACCCCAAACAAAGAAAACAGAGCCCTGTAACAAATGTGAATGCACATTTGACTGTACAGTACATCTATGCACAAATAACCCTAATGCAGTCAATGTGTTGTATGTGGCACTATTTCAGCAGGCAGACCACAGAGAAAGTTCTAATTTACCAAAATAAAATGAGTTCTTGAAACCTATAATCAGAAAAGATTAAAGGGAGATAAATCTGACTTTAAATTCTGTTCACTTTAATATTAGAAAGTCCAAAATAAAGGATACATAGCCCAAAATATAAGAAAATAGAATTTTGTTGTATTGTTTAATGACCTTATTTCATTTTAGAAAAATCAATGACTTTACAATTGATTCAAATAAAAAACAATCTAGAACACATACTGATTGATAATAAATTAAAAAGTAGGATTTTTATTTTAAGCAGCCATTTGCATACATATCTAGCATCAAAATATCCTGTTTTGACCAAGTGTGGCGGACCTGGGAAGCCATGGGAGAGTACAAGGACAAATGAATCCAAATGAAGGGAAATGGCAGGCAGGACACATAAACTTGGTAGACTTTCTATTTGCCATTAGGAATAAGAACAGCAAGAGCAAAGAGCTGTACTGTTTATATGCAGCTGGACTCTACAGCATGAGGGTGGGGATGAATAGCCGGGTAAAGTCACTTAATGTTTAAAAAAATACCTGAAAAGCCTGTCGTATACAGTGAAGTTTGGCAAGAAAATCGCTGTCTCCTAGGCACTCCAGCATTTCAGTTCTATGTAATAAACAGGGGAGACAACTGTTACACTGCATTCAAGAGCAAGTCTACTACAAATCTGGACTCAAACAAGGCTTAATCCAGTACCTTAATATAAAACACATGTCTTTTCAATACTGACAAAACATATAAAATTTTTTTTAAGCCTAAAAATATGCTTTCCCCTATTCTCATGAACATTTTAAATAAATATCATATAAGCACAGCAATAACACCTCAGTATTTTTCATAAACGTAAGCAAAACTGAAATGGTACCTAAGCACTCTTGAGTAAATTTTTCCTTCTTCAACTAAATGCATGGCTTCTTCATAAAAAGGGCAGTGGCAAAGAGACTCCAGACTGTAAGATTGCCGGACTTCTCTGTGTTCTGCAAGCTAAGCATTACAGTGGGTTAGAACAGACTACAATGATGTAAGAAAAAAACTATAAAAGATAGAAAATCAGATCTCACTAACATCAAAATATACTCAATTTGATTAAACCATAATAACCATTCAATAGGATTTTATAGCTAGTAAGATCTGAATTCATTTTATTTCAAAATTCAGCTGTAAAAAAGAGTAAAACTTTATTACAAGCTTAAGTTCATTTCGAATTCAGCTACTTAAATCCACAGGGTGCACAAAAAGCAGTTTAATCTTACACTTCACCAACAAAAATAACTGAAGATGAAGCATTAGAGAAAAAAAAGAGGATTTTATCATTCAAAGAATGCTTAAAAGTATTTTAACTCACAATTGTAAATGAAGTAAAACTTTCTACAAAAACACTGATATAATCTCAATTTGGCTAATTCTAAGGAATTTTTCTAATGTGCAGCTTTGAGTCATCTTTATATAACTGAAAAATAGTCATGTACCTACGGCTACTGTAATAGCTCTTCTGACAGTTCATTAAAAAACAACTGCGAACACTATAGAGCAGTCAGCTAAGCAAGAAATTATTTTTCAATACCACATGATCCATTAAATGGCACACTGTAGGGTTTTAATTTTTTTTAATAACAACTTTGAGATATAATTCACATACCATAAAATTCACCCTTTTATGTGTACAATCCAGTGGTTTTTAGTACAGTAGTCTCCCCTTATCCACGGTTTCACTTTCCACGGTTTCAGTTACCTGTGATCAACTGTGGTCCAAAAATATTAAGTAGAAAATTCCAGAAACAAACATTTCATAAGTTTTAAATTGCATGCTGTTCCGAGTAGCATGATGAAATAACACTGTCCCACTCCATCATCTCCAGACTAGAATCATCCCTTTGTCCAGTGTATCCATACTGTATGAACTACCTGCCCATTAGTCACATAGTAGCCATCGTTACCATATAGACTGTCACAGAATCTCCGCATTTACGTTCAAGCAACCATTATTTTACTTAATAATGGCCCCAAAGCATAACAGTAGTGATACTGGCAATTCAGATATGCCAAAGAGAAGCTGTAAAGTGCTTCCTTTAAGTGAACAGGTATCTATGTATGGGGAAAAAGATGGTTATATAGGTTTTGGTATTATCCATGGCTTCAGGCATCCACTGGGGGTTGGGGAGTGTCTTGAAAGATATCCCCTCCAAGTAAGGGGGACTACTGTATATTCATTGGGTTGGGTAATCTGCACCACTTTCGAATTCCAAAATATTTTTATCAGTCCAACAAAAAACCCCTACCATTAGCAGTCACTCCCCACTCCCCTTCTCCTTTCTCTCTAGCCCCTGGAAACCACTAATCTACTTTTAGTCACTATGGAATTTCCTACTTCGGAAAATTCATACAAATGGAATATGTGGTTTCTTGTGTTTGATTTCTTTCATTAGCATAATGTTTTCAGGGTTCATCTATGATGTAGCATGTATCACTTCTTCACTCTTTTTTATGGCTGAATTGTATGGATATACCACATTTTGTTTACTCCTCATTGACAAATATTTGGGTTGTTTCCACCTTTAGGCTATCATGAATAAGGCTGCTTTTAGCATTTGTGTACAACTTTTTTATGTTTTCAATTCTCTTGAGTATATACAATGGTCAGATGTAACTCCATATTTATCTTTTTGAGGAGCTGTCAAACTGTACAGCAAAGTGGCCATACTATTTTCTATTCCTAACAACAATGTACAATGAATCAAATCTTTCCATACCATTACCTACAATTATTGTCCATCTTTTTTATTACAGGCACCCTGGTGTATATAAAGTTGTTTAATTTCACTAAAGACTAGTCATGTTGAACATCTTTCCTCTCCTTATTGGCCTTTGTATATCTTCTTTACAGAAATGGCTATTCAAATCCTTAGCTCATTTTTAAATTGGGTTGTCTATTGTTGAGTTGTAACCATTCTTTATATATTCTGGAAATAAGTCCTTTAACAAATACACAATTTACAAATGTTTTTTCCCAATCTGCTGTCTCTTTCGCTTTCTTGTCCTCTGGTGTCCTTTGAAGCACAAAAGTTCTTACTTTGGCCAAATTTCAATTAATCATTTTTTCCTTTTGTCTCCTTAACTTTTACTTCCTGCTTGTGGACAACATCAAGACATCAAGGTCAGATGGCTTCCAATCAAGATGGCAGATAGGTGAACGTGGTACTTAATCCTCCCACAACCACATCAAAATTACAACTACACTACAGAACCACCATGACTGTTAACCACCTGAAATCTAGCTGAACAGAAGTCCTACAACTAAGGATAAAAGAAGCTACGGTGAGACTGGTAGGAGACATGGAACGAGCTGGTCCCACACCCACAACAAGGATGGACCTAGAGGGTACTATGTTGAGTGAAATAAGATAGACAGAGAAAGACAAACGACAGACAATTTCACTTATATGTGGAATCTATAAAACAAACAAGCAGAACAGATACAGAATCACAGGTACAGAGAACATTCTGACTGTTTTAAGAAGGGAGGGGGTTTGGGGGAATGGGTGTGAAAGGTGAAGGGATTTAGAAGTACAAATTGGTAGTTACAAATAGGGATGTGAAGTATAGCACAAGGAATATAGTTAATAATATTGTGATAACTATGTATGCTGTCAGATGGGTACTAGATTTATTGCGGTGATCACTTCATAAGTTATATAAATGTCTAATCACTATATTGTACACCTAAAACTAATGTAATATTGCACATCAACTATAATTTAAAAATTTTTTTGAATTATTTAAAAAGAAAAGAACATCAAGGTCAGCCCAGAAGTAAGAAGTTAGGGACTTCTAAGACTTTTCCTGCACATATGCACAGCCCTGCCATGTCTGGGGCTTTCTAGACTCCCAGGAATATGGTGGAGCCTTTCAAAGACCCCTATAAACATCTCATTGCCCCATTTTCCCTTTTAATTTTTTTTTTTTAATCCTCACCAGGGGATACTTTTTCCATTGATTTTTTTTTTTTTTTTTTTTAAAGAGAGTGGAAGGGAGGGAGGGGGAAGAGAGAGAAACATGGATATGAGAGAGACACATTGATTAGTTGCCTCCTGCACTGGACTGGGGCCAGGGATCGAATCTACAACTGGGGACGGGGATCGAATCTACAACCCAGGTACGTTCCCTTGACAGGAAATCAAACCTGAGGCCCTTTGGTGCATGGGCCAACACTCTAACCACTGAGAAACACAGGCCAGGCCCCTTTTATGGTTTTTTGTCAGCCTCTTGTTAGCCCCAGCTGGTATCACCACCTCAGTCAGCAGCAATGTTAAACAATTACCACTGATTGATTCCAACAAAGGCCCAAGGAATAGAACTCTTTGTACAGAGCAACTCTAAATCAGGTCAAATAAAGACAAGTCCTGAGAATGGAGTTTTGCAGGTGAAATAGTACAATTCTCTAGGGATGAGGCTTTTGAGAAGCTCCAAAGCTACTAAGTTTCTTTTAGTGGCTGCTGGGCCTCTGGTTTTCAAAGTTACCAGAGTTGTGAGACTGCTGGTTTTTACTATGCTATTCTGAAGTGTTTCTCCATGCTATAGTTCTGGCACTTCATATGCACTCATTGCTATGCTAAATGCTTTAACTTGATTATCTCATTTACTCTTAACAACAATTCATAAAGTATATACTATTATCATCCACATTTCACAGATAAAGAAACAGATATTTAGATTAGCAGGAACATGCCCCAAGTCCCACAACTAAGTAGTGGAAGTTAAATTAAGCCCAGGCATTTAATTTAAAGCTTATATTCTTTTATCTTGTTTAAGATTTTTTATCGATTTTTAGAGAGAGAGGAAGGGAGAGGGAGAGAGAAAAAAAACATTGATGTGAAACACTGATCAACTGCCTCTTGCATGACCCCTACTGGAAATCAAGCCCAAAATCTGGGCATGTGCCCTGACAGGGAATTGAACCAGCAACCTTTCAGTGCACTGGATGCTGCCCAACCAACTGAGCCACACCGGCCAAGGCTATACTCTTAAATATCAAATTGTACTCTCCTAACAGCCTTATCTATCCAGAGAGCCAAGGAAGAAGTTTAATCATTGGTAATATTTAATATAGTATAAATATGTCTATTAGACCAGAAGTAAAAGGAAAAAAAAGTAAATGGAAATAACAATACCTGACATCGTATATTTTCTGCTTTAAGTAGTTCCCCTCATAGTTTAAGGAAAATATATTATGCTAATGGAAAGTGTCTGAGGTTAAATAAAACCCAACCTAACAGTTTTAAAAAAATAACTTAAAATGGAAATTCTTTAGATATTAAATAGTTCAAAGTTTTGAACCATTGTCAAAACAAATAGTATCTATGTACACCTACCAGTAGGAAAAATCCTAAGGAGGAAACTGGAGCTCCAATTAAACTCTCTACATAAAATAATTTATACTAATAAGTGAACAAGTCCAACAATGAGAGATTCCAGAGTCAAGTCCTGATTAACTGGTCTACCTTGCTTATTTGTTGGTTTGGCTCTGAGGTGATCATTTAACTAGGTCTCTTAAAACAGGCTTGCAGCTGTGAAAATACATCATATTGAAGATTTGACACTGGCTAACATTATCATCAACTCTTCCTAAGAGACAATGACAACTCAGAAACATTTATTTAAATCATGAATCTTAAGTTTTTTACAGCAAAAAGCAAATCACTAAAATAATGGCTTAAATTCTCATTTTAGAATATAGTTTCTAGGAAGAATTTTTTGACAAAATTTCCCAAAACTTTTTAAAAGGTTTGAGAAAAAGATTAACATTTTATAAGAGCTGAGACGTGACTTCAGAAGCAGAGGTCAGTAACAGTAAAATCCCAACATATGAAAATGGGCAATTTACCATGAAAAAGGGTTTTCTTTTTTACCTTTTTTTTTTTTTTGCTAGCTGAAACTTTTGAAATGTCCTTTATTTCTAAACCATTCTTCCCCCAAAACCGTAGATT